CATTTGACCCTTATGTCCTATTTTTAGCTATGGCAGCCATGTTTGTCGCTGGATACAAACTTAGGATACAATTTATAAACAAGATACCCTAAGGAACATTTATTTAAAGTTTGAAGGTAATTGGCCCAGTAGTTTCAGAGGAGAAGATTTTTAAATGTTAGCAAACTTGATGAACAAATTGTGTAAAATTGTCTTTAAAGGGCAATAACTCCTTAAGGGGTCAATTGACAATTATGGTTATATTAACTTTTTTGTAGATCTTACTTTGCTGAACATTATTGCTGCTTACAGTTTATATATATCTATAATAATATTCAAAATAATAACAAACAAGAGGCTCTAAAGAGCCTGTGTCGCTCACCTTGGTCTATGTGCATATTAAACAAAGGACACAGATGGATTCATGACAAAATTGTGTTTTGGTGATGGTGATGTGTTTGTAGATCTTACTTTACTGAACATTCTTGCTCCTTACTATTATCTCTATCTATAATGAACTTGGCCCGGTAGTTACAGTGGAAAATACTTTGTAAAAATTTACAAAATTTATGAAAATTGTAAAAAATTGACTATAAAGGGCAATAACTCCTTAAGGGGTCAATTGACAATTTTGGTCATGTTGCCTTATTTGTAGATCTAACTTTGCTGTTCATTATTGCTGTTAACAGTTTATCTCTATCTATAACAATATTCAAGATAATAACCAAAAGCTGCAAAATTTTCTTAAAATTACCAATTCAGGGGCAGCAACCCAACAACGGGTTGTCTGATTGGTCTGAAAATTTCAGGGCAGATAGATCTTGACCTAATGAACAATTTTATCCTCATCAGATTTGCTCTAAATGCTTTGGTTTCAGAGATATGAACCAAAAACTGCATTTTACCCTATGTACTATTTTTTAGCCATGTCAGCCATCTTGGTTCGCGGGCGGGGTCATCAGACACATTTTTTAAACTAGATACCCTAATGATGATTGTGGACAAGTTTGGTTAAATTTGTCTTAGTAGTTTCAGAGGAGAAGATTTTTGTAAAAAATTACAAAATATTACGAAAAAAGCTTAAAAATTGACTATAAAGGGCAATAACTCCTTAAGAGGTCAACTGACCATTTTGGTCAAGTTGACTTATTTGTAGATCTTACTTTGCTGAACATTATTGCTGTTTACAGTTTATCTCTATCTATAATAATGTTCAAGATAATAACCAAAAACTGCAAAATTTCCTTAAAATTACCAATTCAGGGGCAGCAACCCAACAACGGGTTGTCTGATTGGTCTGAAAATTTCAGGGCAGATAGATCTTGACCTAATGAACAATTTTATCCTCATCAGATTTGCTCTTAATGCTTTGGTTTCAGAGATATGAACCAAAAACTGCATTTTACCCTATGTACTATTTTTTAGCCATGTCAGCCATCTTGGTTCGCGGGCGGGGTCATCAGACACATTTTTTAAACTAGATACCCTAATGATGATTGTGGACAAGTTTGGTTAAATTTGTCTTAGTAGTTTCAGAGGAGAAGATTTTTGTAAAAAATTACAAAAAATTACGAAAAAAGCTTAAAAATTGACTATAAAGGGCAATAACTCCTTAAGAGGTCAACTGACCATTTTGGTCAAGTTGACTTATTTGTAGATCTTACTTTGCTGAACATTATTGCTGTTTACAGTTTATCTCTATCTATAATAATGTTCAAGATAATAACCAAAAACTGCAAAATTTCCTTAAAATTACCAATTCAGGGGCAGCAACCCAACAACGGGTTGTCTGATTGGTCTGAAAATTTCAGGGCAGATAGATCTTGACCTAATGAACAATTTTATCCTCATCAGATTTGCTCTTAATGCTTTGGTTTCAGAGATATGAGCCAAAAACTGCATTTTACCCTATGTACTATTTTTTAGCCATGTCGGCCATCTTGGTTCGCGGGCGGGGTCATCGGACACATTTTTTAAACTAGATACCATAATGATGATTGTGGACAAGTTTGGTTAAATTTGTCTTAGTAGTTTCAGAGGAGAAGATTTTTGTAAAAGATTACAAAAATTTACGAAAAATGGTTAAAAATTGACTATTAAGGGCAATAACTCCTTAAGGGGTCAATTGACCATTTTGGTCAAGTTGACTTATTTGTAGATCTTACTTTGCTGAACATTATTGCTGTTTACAGTTTATCTCTATCTATAATAATGTTCAAGATAATAACCAAAAACTGCAAAATTTCCTTAAAATCACCAATTCAAGGGCAGCAACCCAACAACGGGTTGTCCGATTCATCTGAAAATTTCAGGGCAGATAGATCTTGACCTGATAAACAATTTTACACCAGTCAGATTTGCTCTAAATGCTTTGGTTTCAGAGATATAAGCCAAAATCTACATTTTACCCCTATGTTCTATTTTTAGCCATGGCGGCCATCTTGGTTGGTTGGCCGGGTCACCGGACACATTTTTTAAACTAGATACCCCAATGATGATTGTGGCCAAGTTTGGTCAAATTTGGCCCAGTAGTTTCAGAGGAGAAGATTTTTGTAAAAGTTTACGGACGACGGACGACGGACGCAGGACGACAGACGACGGACGCCAAGTGATGAGAAAAGCTCACTTGACCTTTCAGGTCAGGTGAGCTAAAAACTGCAAAATTTTGTTAAAACTACCAATTCGGTGGCAGCAACCCAACGATGGGTTGTTCGATTCGTCTGAAAATTTCAGAGCTGATAGATCTTGACCAATTGAACAATTTTACCCCATGTCAGATTTGCTCTAAAAGCTTTAGTTTTTGAGATATAAGCCAAAAACTGCATTTGACCCCTATGTTCTATTTTTAGCCATGGCGGCCATGTTTGTCGATGGATCAAAACTTCGGATACAATTTATAAACTAGATACCCTAAGGAACATTTATTTAAAGTTTGAAGGTATTTGGCCCAGTAGTTTCAGAGGAGAAGATTTTTGAAATAGTTTACGACGACGACAACAGACGACGACGACGGACGACGACGGACGCCAAGTGATGGCATAAGCTCACATGGGGCCCTTTGGGCCCGGTGAGCTAAAAAGGCAGATATAATAATACGCCTTTGGGTCAAAGAATATGTAAACATTGTATTGATAACAAAATTGAAGATGAGTTTCATTTTATATGTGAATGTAACCTCTATCAAGACGAGAGGAAAAAGTTTAATGATGACATTGTTAATATTATACCGTGTTTTTGTAATTTAGATAATTTTGATAAATTCAGATATTTAATGAACTGTTCGGAGACTGATGTTCTCAACAGATTTCTTTTATATATAGACAAATGTATTTTGATTAGAAATTCATCAGTGGGAATAACTGCATAATATTGAAGTGGTTGTTTTGTCTATTGTTTGTTATAAGTGTCACAATTGTTGTCTCTTTATGTTTTATTTTTGTTTTGTTTTTCTATGTTTTCATGTTTTTCAGCGATGATATTTTTGTACTGGAATTTATACTGAATAAAATTAGTTAGTTTATTAAACAAAGGACACAGATGGATTCATGACAAAATTGTGTTTTGGTGATGGTGATGTGTTTGTAGATCTTACTTTACTGAACATTCTTGCTCCTTACTATTATCTCTATCTATAATGAACTTGGCCCAGTAGTGGAAAATATTTTGTAAAAATTAACAAAAATTTACAAAATTTAATTATGAAAATTGTAAAATTGACTATAAAGGGCAATAACTCCTTAAGGGGTCAATTGACAATTTTGGTCATGTTTGACTTATTTGTAGATCTTACTTTGCTGTTCATTATTGCTGTTTACAGTTTATCTCTATCTATAATAATATTCAAGATAATAACCAAAAGCTGCAAAATTTTCTTAAAATTACCAATTCAGGGGCAGCAACCCAACAACGTGTTGCCTGATTGGTCTGAAAATTTCAGGGCAGATAGATCTTGACCTAATGAACAATTTTATCCTCGTCTGATTTGCTCTTAATGCTTTGGTTTCAGAGATATGAGTCAAAAACTGCATTTTACCCTATGTACTATTTTTTAGCCATGTCAGCCATCTTGGTTCGCGGGCAGGGTCATCGGACACATTTTTTAAACTAGATACCCTAATGATGATTGTGGACAAGTTTGGTTAAATTTGTCTTAGTAGTTTCAGGAGAAGATTTTTGTAAAAGATTACAAAAATTTACGAAAAATTGTTAAAAATTGACTATAAAGGGCAATAACTCCTTAAGGGGTCAACTGACCATTTTGGTCAACTTGACTTATTTGTAGATCTTACTTTGCTGAACATTATTGCTGTATACAGTTTATCTCTATCTATAATAATATTCAAGATAATAACCAAAAACGGCAAAATTTCCTTAAAATTACCAATTCAGGGGCAGCAACCCAACAACGGGTTGTCCGATTCATTTGAAAATTTCTGGGCAGATAGATCTTGACCTGATAAACAATTTTCTCCATATCAGATTTGCTCTAAATGCTTTGGTTTCAGAGATATAAGCCAAAATCTACATTTTACCCCATGTTCTATTTTTAGCCATGGTGGCCATCTTGGTTGGTTGGCTGGGTCACCGGACACATTTTTTAAACTAGACGGCATAAATGGTATAGAATATTTGTTCCAACAGGAATAGATATTATGACATTGTTTATAACAAAGTTTCCAGTGGAACTTCTGTTAGGCGGAACAAATATACGTTGACAACCCCAATGTTGATTGTGGCCAAGTTTGGTTAAATTTGGCCAAGTAGTTTCATAGGAGAAGATTTTTGTAAAAGTTAACGGACGACGGACGACTACGGACGACGGACGCCAAGTGATGAGAAAAGCTCACTTGGCCCTCTGGGCCAGGTGAGCTAAAAATGCAATGTTCTCATCTTAAATGTTTTATTGAAAGCATCAGAGAACAAAACACTTGGTCAATGTTTATACCATGTTTAAATTTTGTTAAAATTGTTGAAATGCTCTTGACTCAGACAATATCTGAAATATGTAATAAACCATAATTTTACACACCTGCACTTATAGATGGAACTGCAACTGATGTAAAACCATTAATTTCTGCTTCATGTAAACAATTTTCAATTGTTCTTTGTAAGACAGAGGCACACTGTGGTTTATCAATAGGATAATCATACCATTTTGGACCAATGGCATGTATAACGCACTTGTAATGAAGATTACCAGCGGAAGTTGAGCAACACTCTCCATCTTTCAAAGGACCATTTCTTTGTATGTATGCATCACAATCCTGTTCAAAATCATAACCTGCTGCCCTAGATATAACATTAGCAATTCCTCCCCCATGAGATAACATTCCATTTGAAGCATTGACTATACCTTCCACATTAAGTTTCAGAATACTTCCAACATACACTCTGATGACTATCTCTTCTTTTGTAATGAAAGATTGGCAGTTAGTTGATTGTATGAAACTGTCAGATAGTTTTTTAGCCTAAAAACGAAACATTTAAAAAATAATTTCATTCAAATAAAATTGAATAGAATGTCAAAATTTGAAAATTGATTGGTTGATTGATTGGTGTTCAACACCACTTTCAGCACTATTGGCTATTTTGTGGTGATCAGATTTTATTGGTGGAGGAAGCTAGAGTGACCTGAGAGAACTATTGACCTTCAGCAGGAAAACTGACAATGTCACAATCCTAGTTAATTAAAATTGGAGTTGAATGAACCTGCCAAGTGCAGGGTTCGAACTCACAACCTCAGTGTTGACATGCTAGTGGTACAGTAGTTGGACTACTTAGACCCTCAGCCACCAAGGCCCCTTAAAATTTGAAGTGATACACATCTGTTGGCTTCATCATTTCTTTAGCGAGGTAGAAGGCGGACAAAAAGTTTTGCCCCTGCTTCAGAGAGCCGCATCGGCCTATGAAATTTTCTTAGCGAGGTAGAAGGTGGACAATATTTTTTTTTAACTAGTATCAAGTTTATATAAATGCAGTATATGACATATAATTTTTAAAATCAAGAACTCATTTTACATCTATCCAATATATGCCACTTTTGAAAAGAAGAAAAATTTGGATCCTCATAGTTAATGGCACACTTTATCATTGGACATACTGCAAGACAAAAACAGGAATTCATGCAAGAATTGTATATTTCATACCTTAGGCATGGCAACCTGAGCAGCTATGTCTCCCATTTTAGTCTCTGTTTTACCTTTACTGTCCTTGTTTATGAAAGTAATATGTTTGTCTCTGAAAGAAATGCCAATCATCAAATATTTCATTTTAATTATAAAACAGAATATTCTGCCAATGTATTTACTTTAAACAAGATGACACAACAGGATTTTTAAAAAGGGGGCCCACCACAAGGGAAACATAAGAAGTGGGACTTTTTAAAAGTCTATGCAATAACCATATATGTATGCTCCATAAGTTGGGATCCAGGCCCCCTCCCTTCTAAACTTGTCTCTGCACAATCTTATTTAAATTACTGCTTATGGACTTTAAGATAGGTAATTGGTGGAAAGATGGTTAATGTCCAGCCGCAGATATTACATGCATTTTTAGGATAGAAAACAATTAATTATGTTAAAGTGATATATATATATATGACAGTGACATGGTCTCACATCTTAATTTTTATCTAATATCTAATTCTACAAATTGAAGGAATGTCACATCCTAAAATGCTGAGCCAGATATTTAACATACATAGATATAAGAAGATGTGGTATGAGTGCCAATGAGACAACTCTCCATCCAAGTCACAATTTGTAAAAGTAAACCATTATAGGTCAAAGTACCGTCTCTAACACGGAGCCTTGGCTCACACCAAACAGCAAGCTATAAATAAGGGCCCCAAAAATGACTAGTGTAAAACCATTCAAACGGGAAAACCAACGGTCTAATCTATATAAATAAACTGTTATCACAGAGATATGTCTCGCCTTTTTGTAATTTTGATAATGCAAATGTTGAAATTAAAATAGCAATACTTTAACATGTAAGTTATGCAAATATTCAAAGTCGATGAACCATGACTGAAGGTACATGGCTAAACAATCTCCATGGAATGAAATGTGCCAATGCTAATTCAACTGCATACCAAATACCATTGACTTATTATAAGTCGTTCCCTTTAAACATACCTAAACACAAACATTAACTTGTAAACTATGTAAAAGTTTCAAAGTCAATGAACCATGATCAGGGGTGGGGCTATATAATCTCCATGGAAACGATACTTGCAAATGCCAATAAATTGGCATACCAAATATCATTGGCTTAACATAAGCAGTTCATCTTAAACTGATCTAATCACAAACTAATACATGTAAACTAAGCAAAAGTTTCAAAGTCAATAGACCATGACTGAGGGGGCAGGGCCAAATATTCTCCATGAAAATGATATGTGCTAATGCTTATACAACTGAACACCAATTAACATTGGCCTACCACAATTGGTTTCCCTTGAACAGACCTAAACACAAACTAATACATGTTAACTAAGCAAAATTTTCAAAGTCTATAGACCATGACTAAGGGGGCGGTGCCAAATAATCTCCATGGAAATGAGATATGCCAATGCTTATACAACTGAAAACCAAATATCATTAACCTACCACTAGTGGTTCCCCATAAACTGACCTAATCACAAACTAATTGTAACAGGAGGGGGTTGGAGACGACACTTCCCGGGACGTGTAGTGGCCAGTACTTCGTCCCTATTCGACCATCTGGATACCTGATATCAGATTATGGCTGAACAACAGACAATAAATCAAATGAAACTATATTTATTCACAAATGTACAATAATTGCAAGTTGGATTAAACAGGAGTATAAATCTTTCTAAAATGAAGTTCAAAAATAAAGTAATTCAAATGTAAATTGAATAAAATGCTCCGCAGGGCGCAGCTTGATACGACCGCAGAGATCGAACCCTGAACAGTTGGGGCAAGTATGGACACAACATTCAAGCCTGATACAGCTTTGCATTTGGATTGTGATTAAATATTTGACACAGCATAGGTTTCTGACACAGAATGAATGTAGTCTAAGAACTTAAAAATTTTAAATTGGACATTCACCTATTATGGTCCAATATCCAAAATCTAAATACATGGTTAGATTCAGCATATCAAAGAACCCCAAGAATTCAATTTTTGATGAAATCAAACAAAGTTTAATTTTGGACCCTTTTGACCTCAATGTGGACAAAGTTGATAACAGGGCCCAAAAATCAAAAATCTAAATACATGATTAGATTCAGCATATCAAAGAACCCCATATATTCAATTTTTGTTGAAATCAAACAAAGTTTAATTTTGGACCCCGATTTGGACCAACTTGAAAACTGGGCCCATAATCAAAAATCTAAATACATGTTTAGATTCAGCATATCAAAGAACCCTAAGAATTCAATTTTTGTTTAAATCAAACTAAGTTTAATTTTGGACCCTTTGGACCTTAATGTAGACCAATTTGAAAACGAAACCAAAAATTAAGAATCTAAATACACGGTTAGATTCGGCATATCAAAGAACCCCAATAATTCAATTTTTGATGAAATCAAACAAAGTTTAATTTTGGACCCTTTGGACCTCAATGTGGACCAATTTAAAAACGGGGCCCAAAATCCAAAAACTAAATACACGGTTAGATTCAGCATATTAAAGAACCCCAAGAATTCAAGAATAAAACCCCATTGAAATTGGTCAAGAAAAAAGCAATTTATACGAAGTACCTTCTTTTGCACAATACTGTGCAATTAAATATTTCTTGCTATTGCGCAATACTGTACAATTGACAACTTCTTGCTATTGTGCAATATTGTGCTATTGGATATTTCTTGCTATTGCGCAATACTGTGCAATTGAAGATTTCTTGCTATTGTGCAATACTGTGCAATTGAAAATTTCTTGCTATTGCACAATACTTATTATATAATAATTTACACATCCTGTTTGGTGTGTATCTCCTACCATATCATTATTATTTGCTTTTAAATATAAATCAGAAATAACCAACTTAAAATGGAAAATTTTAAAAGAAAAAAAAAAGGAAACCCCCCCCCCCCCCCAAATTTTTTGAACCCCCTTATGATTCATCACCCCCAAACTCAATCCCAGCCTTCCCTTTGTGGTATGGTACCTTGCAGTACAATTTCAGAGAGATCCATACACTTGAACACAAGTTATTGTCTGGAAACTAGAAAAATGTGGTTTTTTGGTCCCTTTTTGGCCCCAAATTCCTTAACGTTTAGGGCAATTACCCCCAAACTCAAACCCAGATTTCCCTTTGTGATATGGAACTTTGTAGTACAATTTCAGAAAGAACCATACACTTACACACCACAAGTTATTGTCCTGAAATAGAAAAATGCTTGTTTTTTGCCCCTTTTTGGCCCCTAATTCCTAAAATATTGAGGCAATTACCCCCATCATCAATCCCAGCCTTCCCTTTGTGGTATGGTACCTTGCAGTACAATTTCAGAGAGATCCATACACTTGAACACAAGTTATTATCTGGAAACTAGAAAAATGCTTATTTTTGGCCCCTTTTTGGCCCCCAATTCCTAAACATTTCGGCAATTACCCTCAAACTCAATTCCAGCTTTCCCTTTGTGATATGGAACCTTGTAGTACAATTTCAGAAAGATCCATACACTTACACACAAGTTATTGTCATGAAACTAGAAAAATGCTTGTTTTTTGCCCCTTTTTTGGCCCCTAATTCCTAAAATTTTGAGGCAATTACCCCCAAAATCAATCCCAGCATTTCTTTTGTGATATGGACCTTGTGGTACAATGTCAGAGAGATCCATACACTAACACACAAGTTATGTCTGGAAGTTACAAAAATGCTTATTTTTGGCCCCTTTTTGGCCCCTAATTCCTTTACTGTTGGTACCATAACCCCCAAAATCAATCCCAACCTTCCTTTTGTGGTATTGAACCTTATGGTAAAATTTCATAGAGATCCATTCACTTAAACTAAAGTTAGAGTGCGAAAACCAATGTGTCTTCGGACGACGCCGGACGACGCCAGACGACAACGACGACGACGACGACGACGCCGCCAACATCATACCAATATACGACCACAAAAATTTTTTTGCGGTTGTATAAAAATAAAGTATTTCCAGAGTTAGTCACTTAAGAAAATTTGCTTCGCATTGTGTGTTGCACCAAAAAGGGGTGACTAACTCTGGCGAACTGCACCGAAGTGGTGGCTAACTCTAGCCTCAAGTGGAATGATACATTCTGGAGAGTATTTGGAGGCCTGTGCAAGGCAGACTCCGACTCACTATAAATTAAAATCCTAAACTTGTCATTAATCAGGATAACTTTAACAGAAAAGGTATGAAAGAAAAGTTGAATAAATGAATATTCTTAAAAATTCTAGAAACATCAAAGTTAAATAATAAAATAGTAAAATTAACAATCCTTACTTTTATCTTACTATGTTTAAAACAAATTAAACTTAAAATAAACATTTAAATACTAAATAATTAATCTGTAGAAATTAAGGGGAATTAACCTAGGAACATCTATTACATAATACATGTAAACTATGAAAAGTTTCAAAGTCAAGAGACCTTGACTGAGGGGGCGGGGCCAAATAATCTCCATGGTAATGAGATGTGCCAATGCTAATACAACTGCATACCAAATATCATTGACCTAGCACTAGTGGTTCACCATGAACTAGACCTAATCACAAACTAATACATTGTTGACGCCGCCGCCGCCGACGCCCTCACCAAAGCCGGAATCAGCATACCTATGTCTCGCTTTTTGACTCCGTCAAGACGAGACAAAAACGTGAAACGAGAAACACTTATGAACCACATCAACAAACGACGACTACTGAACATCAGATTCCTGTACACAAGTAAAAATCTGCAGACATATACATATCAGCATTTCATTTGATTTTTTTTATATGTGAAATAAGCTTTACACAATCAAATAATTTTTCTGCTGGAAACTTATGTCAGCTTGATGAATTTTTTCATGTAAAATCGTTATCTTGATCAAAAGTTCTACACATTAAATTCAAATCAAATCAAATAGTAAAAGAAATTATATAATGATTTCAATTTTTTAAATAAGATTTCAGACATTAAAGGTTAAGGGGAGAGTTTGGTGCCAACAAATTAGTTTAACCAGGCCATATTCTGTATGTGCCTGTCTCAAGTCAGTAGCTCGTAATTCAGTGGTTGTCGTTTGTTGCTGTACATCATATTTTTTTTTCGTTCATTGTTTTGTACATAAATCAGGCTGTTAGTTTTCTCATTTAAATTGTTTTACATTGTCATTTTGATGCCTTTTATAGGTGGCTATGCAGTATGGGTTTTGCTCATTGTTGAAGGACATATGATGACCAAAAGTTGTAAACTTCTATGTTATTTGCTCTCTGGTGGAGAGTTGTCTTATTGCCAATGATACCACATCTTCTTATTTTTATATAAATATCATATTTTGGTAATATACTCTCATTCAGGGTGAAATTCATGTAAGAAATTGCTCATGAATTTCATTGATTCTGGAAATTGTTGGTTTGATTCCTGATAATAAAACTAAGATTTCAAACTCATATTTGCTGCTTATGCACTAAACATGCACTAGAGTGAACAAGCTTAAATGTCTCGCCTGTGCTACTGGTCACAATTAAATTTTATGATAAACATCTTCAAGATCAATGTCTTACTACAGAGATCATATAAACTTAACATTGAACCATTAAATTGATGTCAAGGTCAGACAAACCTACCAGACAGACATGTACACATGTATCAATCATTTCATACACCAAATAAATTTACATATTGCTTATGTAATGCTATAATAGCTGAGAAACAGACCTAACCAAGAAAACTTACTATTGACTAATAAACCAACAAAATGAGGTGAAGGTCAAATGAACCCTAACAAACAGACAAGTTTACCTTACAATCATTCCATGATGGACATACACACCATTCAATCATTCCATACACCAAATATAGTTAACCTATTGCTTATAGTATCTGAGAAACAGACCAAACCAAGAAAACTTGACCGATGAACCAGGAAAATAAGGTCATGGTCATATGAACCCTGACAAACAGACATGTTTACCTTACAATCATTCCATACACCAAATATATATGACTAATCAATTGCTTACAGTATCCAAGAAAGATAGGACCTAACCATTGAAAGTGTATGATGATCACTGATCCATGAAATGAGATTAGGTCAGATGAACCTGTCTGATGTCTGATGGACATGAAGACCTTGCAATGATTCTTTATACCAAAAATAGTTCGATTACCTATAATAAGTGAGAAAAATCTAAACAGTTTTGTTCATAAAAATGAGGTCAAGTACAATTGAAACTTCAAAAAATAAGGTATCTGTATACAAGATATGAACTTAAATCAAGTAAAATTGAGAATGTAAACAGGGAATGTGTCAAAGAGACAACAACCCTACCAAAGAGCAGAAAACAGCCAAAGGCCACCAATGCAGAAAACAGCCCAGGTCTTTTACCATCTGAAATATGAAGCTTTATACAAATAGTTCAAAGCCACCCAGGTTAGCATAGTCCTTAGTCTTGCATTCTAACACAAAAACCAAAAAACTTTATATTGACTTGGTCTGAATAAAACTACATTGGATGACAGGTTTCATGCACTTTTACTTGCTCTATAACTCTGACACTCCTTCTGGGGTTAAAGGTTGAAGTGATTTTCAAAAATGTTTGGTTTATTATTGACCCTATCTTCCTGCATAATTTTTTTTAAAGTTCAATGCTCAAATATCTTGCTAATTGAAAGTTCTTATTCATCATTTATTTGTAAACATGTACCTGGCTTCTTGTTTACTTGTATCAATATGCTGAATCTGCTCTTGATTTTTATCAGCTGTATTATTGGTAGCCACACCCTCTTTTTCTACTAATTTCAATTTCATTTCAAGGTGTTTAATATGTCGCTCTAATTCAGCCTTTTCTGATGTCAGTTTTGACACTTCCTCAGTAGTAGTATCCACTGCAAATATACATAAGTAAATAGGTTTTATAGACGACTATACGGTATGGGTTGTTTCTCATTGTTGAAGGCCATACAGAGGCCTATAATTACTTACTACCACTTCATTTTAACTCTGGTGGATAGTTGTCTCATTGGCAATCTTACCACATCTCCTCATTTTTATATTAACAAAAATTAAAAGGCTTCTACAAGCCTGTAGCTATCATTTGGCAAATTTACGCAAGAGAAGATACAATTTAACTTCTGACAAAGGAGGAGGTATGGTAACAGCCATTACTTGGCCACGAAAATCCAAAAACTATAAAATTATTCAAGCTTTTCAAAATTATGTTAGTTCATTGAAAAATTAACAGCTTGATATAATCTGGACATTTTAGTTCAGAAAGATCAACTGTGCTGTCACTATGATGTCAAAAACATGTTGCAATAACACATTTAACCTAAATCTGCCATTTTATACATAGTTTTTGAAAAAAATAGATATAAGCCAAAGGTCTTGTTCGCCACCAAAACAACATTTAATGTATAAGGTTTCCTTGACACATGCATGAGTTATAAACACAGCAAAGATTTTAAACTGCTTATCCTAAAGCCTAAACCTTGATCAAAACTTTACCCCAAAAATAACCTCATATACAGTATTTTTCACGATACACGGCATTTACAAAGATAGTGACAATATAAAATTATTTTTAAAATTTTAAAAATATAAATTAACAGCATTAAAAATTCGTAAGGGTTCCACGGAACCCAGTGTCTCGCCTACTTTTTCTGTTAATCGCAGGCTCAACAAAAATGAGGAAGTAAATCAATAAAAATATTCCTCTTGATACTATCTTTTGATTGTAAGAAGCTTCTGTCCAAGTTTGGTAAAAATCCAGGATAGTTTATGAATCTAATAAATGTTTAAAAACTTTAAATGCAGACTGAATGTAATGTTAACTGGAAGAAAACAAAATTTCCTTCTAGATACTAGCATTTGATCATAAACAAGCTTCTGTCCAAGTTTGGTACAAATCCAAAATAGTATAAGAAAGTTATTAAAATTTTAAAAACTTTAACCACAGAGTGAATGTGTTGTTTCCCGGCAGAAAATCTAAGTCCATTTAAAAGTAAAAAATGGAAAAAATGGATTTATTTTTTTTACAAAATTTCCTTCTAGATACTAGCTTTTGATCATAAACAAGCTTCTGTCCAAGTTTGGTACAAATCCAAAATAGTATAAGAAAGTTATTCAAATTTTAAAAACTTTAACCACAGAGTGAATGTGTTGTTTCCTGGCAGAAAATCTTAGTCCATTTAAAAGTAAAATAAGGAAAAAATGGATTTATTTTTTTACAAAATTTTTTCTGGATACTATCTTATGATCATAAACAAGCTTCTGTCCAAGTTTGGTACAAATCCAAAATAGTATAAGAAAGTTATTAAAATTTTAAAAACTTTAACCACAGAGTGAATGTGTTGTTTCCCGGCAGAAAATCTAAGTCCATTTAAAAGTAAAAAATGGAAAAAATGGATTTATTTTTTTTACAAAATTTCCTTCTAGATACTAGCTTTTGATCATAAACAAGCTTCTGTCCAAGTTTGGTACAAATCCAAAATAGTATAAGAAAGTTATTCAAATTTTAAAAACTTTAACCACAGAGTGAATGTAATATTTCCCGGCAGAAAAACTAAGTCCATTTATAAGTAAAATACGGAAAAAATGGAATTTTATTTTTACAAAATTTACTTCTGGATACTATATCTTATGATCATAAACAAGCTTCTGTCCAAGTTTGATAGAAATCAAGGATAGTTTAAGAAAGTTATTAAAATTTCAAAAACTTTAACCACAGAGTGAATATTTGTGGACGCCGCCGCCGACAACGACGATGACGCCGACGGAATGTAGGATCGCTATGTCTCGCTTTTTCGACTAAAGTCGAAGGCTCGACAAAAAAAAACTACCATCGATCAACATTCCCTTAATATTTATCAAACAAATAATAAAATCATATATTCATTATAAGAAAATTTATCTGATATTTTTTACCTTGCACAGACTTAGAAGTGTTCTTTCTTTTTCTGAACAATTTTTCCTGGTGAAATAGATCTTTAATGATTTCTTTAGTAGAAGCAATCAATATTCCTCTATCTGTATATTTACAAATTAACAATTTATTTCTATTTTTTGCAATGATATCTGTAAAAATTTTGCTTTTATGAAAAGCATTTGCATTTTCACATCCTTCAACTAAGGTTGACAGCCCAGTGGAAAGAAAGTTTTCATAAATGGCAGATTTGACTATGCACACATCAATATCCTGGTTGTAATAAAAAAGCAGACTCCCAGCAGCAGATTCATCTACTTTCCAAACCAGTTGGGTATTTCCTTTTCAAGTATTTCACAAAATAAACGAGAAGCTTCACTGCATGTTAATAACTCAATAACCAAGGGATCAAATGGAATTTTCTTCATAAGAAGAGAGGATAAACATTTGTTCATTGCATTTATTGCTTCTTGAACCTTGATATCCTGGCCCTGAAAATACAAACAGTTTTGCTCCTCTTGCAGTCCAATTTTAACATCATGAAACTTCTGTGATAGCTGTTCTAATAGACCAAACCTTTTCAAAGCCATTGTCTTCCATTTTTCGTCTAATAAAACTGACTTTTTAACAGACGAACTTGTGATTTGTTCAATTAATTTGTTCATAAGACTCTTGGAGTCATAAAACCCAACTATGAACATTGTTGTGTTATCTTCTAACAGATCTATGTTCTTTGCTGCCAGTTGTTCCTGTAAAACCTCTTCTGCCATTTGTAATGTAAATGGTAGCTTTGGTACTGTTTTCAGAATTACTTCATCAAATTCATTGGTCAAACAGTTGACAATTTCTGAAATGACCGCAAGTGGTGGTTCTGATTTCACTATAACCTCTAGAAATTCCTCTGCAAAATTGATTTTGCTAATTTGAAGACTTGAGATTCCTTTAATTACTGGCTCCAGTCTATTCCTATGATGGGTCATTAAGAACTGCATCTTAACAGGCATCAAGGTTCCTGTCGCATCTGTGTTCCCTATTTCTTTTCCATCCTCCAAGGTCACTTTGATAATTATTTGTTTCCATGCAGATTTCCATGATGATGTGGACTGATTGTCAGGGACCATGTCTGAAATTTATTTAAACATGATGTAAAAAATATATTATACTCACCAAAAGTTAAGCAACATACACCTTCACTTTTTTAAGCATGCAATATAGAAAGTTGGACTCCTTTTTTTTTTAAATTATCAACAGGCTTAAGTACTTGTTTTTCATGATGAACTCAGAAGACATTTATTACATTTCATAATCTTTATTTAAAATCAAAAAGGAAACAACAAAAAAGTTAAGCCAATATAATCTTACTTTTGAGATTTGTCTTTGAACTATCCATGATAATTTTTAAAGTAAGGTTTAAAGTACTGGTAAAAGATCTGTGTAAGTGAAGCTAAAAGAAAATTTATACTGTTAATCATGAATTTAGTTAATTTATAATGCTAACTTTTTGGCAAACATGTCTGCACCAGTTGTTGGCATGACACGGGTTATATTCTTCTCATATATGTTATGATGGTATGATACTAAACCCCTAACGGGAAGGATTGTGCCTGATATTCATATGATGAAGACATAATCTTTCAATCAGTTTAATTGAAGTCTGGAGCTGGCATATCAGTTAACTGCTAGTAGTCTGTTGTTATTTATGTATTACTTTTCTACATTGGCTAGAGGTATAGGGGGAGGGTTGAGATCTCATAAACATGTTTAACCCCGCCGCATTTTTGCGCCTGTCCCAAGTCAGGAGCCTCTAGCCTTTGTTAGTCTTGTATTATTTTTAATTTTAGTTTCTTGTGTACAATTTGGAGTTTAGTATGGCGTTCATTATCACTGAACTAGTATATATATTTGTTTAGGGGCCAGCTGAAGGACGCCTCCGGGTGCAGGAATTTCTCACTACATTGAAGACCTGTTGGTGACCTTCTGCTGTTGTCTGTTCTATGATCGGGTTGTTGTCTCTTTGACACATTCCCCATTTCCATTCTCAATTTTATGCATGTGCATGTATAAAAGTATACATGCAAACCTGTGCACCTGGAAAAGTTTTAAGGCCACTGGACCTATATATATATATATATATATATATATATATTTATATACCGTTTCGACTGGACCTATATATATATATATATATATATATATATTCGGTATTCCAAATACCGTTTCGATCCCTAACATCACTGAAGAGACATTAATTGTTGAAATCCAGATATGGTGTACAAATTTTTGCACCTCATGTTTGCGGTATACCATCTTTTCCGCAAGTTTATTGTTTTCTGTTTGGTATTAAATTAAATATAAGACCCATGTTACATCTGGTGATCAATTTATTTGGCAATCGTCAATGGCAGTCAGCAGGGTTTAAGAACATCAGTTGTTGGACCTGTTAGTCAAATGCATTTTGTTAAAATATACTTTTCACTTTTTTGGTCTTTTGGAAAATGTTGTTTGTGCTGTATTTAGACCCCTCTTCCAAGAAATTTGTTTTACATGCACACGTATAAAAATTGCGGTTTTTATCCAATGCAATCATAGGTTTGAACATTGTCTTCAATTTAGACTCGTTTATATTTTTTAGTTTGGGCTTGTATTATATTTTCCTTCTGGTTTATATGATCCATTCATCCTATTTCGACTCTTTAAAATTCAAGAGTCTATCCTAAATTGAGGTAGATTATATGGCCTTCCAAATACTGTTTCGATCCCTAACATCACTGAAGAGACATTAATTGTCGAAATCCGGATATGGTGTACAAATTTTTGCACCTCATGTTTGCGGTATACCATCTTCTCCGCAAGTTTATTGTTTTCTGTTTGGTATTAAATTAAATATAAGATCCATGTTACATCTGGTGATCAATTTATTTGGCAATCGTCAATGGCAGTCTGAAGTGAGCAGGGTTTAA